TGAACGAGCTAAATATCTCCCAAAAATAAGAGAATTACTTAGAGCTAGGTTTAGGACTGAATATTTAGGGCAATTACGCCAACAATCGTTAAAAGATTATAAGAATAAACCGTTAAAAGTCGGGGAAATAGTTTTAGTCGAAGATATTAATAAGAACGAGCATTTTGGAATTTAGCTAAGGCATTAAAGGTAATTCCTGGTAGAGATGGTCACACAAGAGTAGCCCTTTGTAAAGACAGAAAGTTCAGAAATTTTAAGACCAGTTCAAAGACTATTTAGATTAGAGCAGGAAAATGAGTATGTTGATGTAAGAAGAAAATCATTGAAAATAAGTAGCAGTTGAAGAATTGTTAAACCTACTGTACCTTAATATGTTGTAAAGTGTATGATTCATTAAATATTGTTTATGTTAAGTATTTTGTATGATTTTTCATCATTGATGTTTTTTCTTTCATTTGTATAGAAAATTTTATGTTTAAAAATTAGAAGTTTGTTGTTGAATATAATTACAGGTATTCTACTCAAGGTGGAAGGAAATGTGGTAAGTTCAAATCCGAACTTAAACTTTTAGAAATCCGAACTGAAACTTTAATGTTAGCGCATGCGCGTATCCATTGGATAACCTCCCCCAAATACTTCTATATGAATTGGCTTCAAGTACGAGATCTGGATACAAGATGTTATGTTTGTCTGCTTGTTAATTGTATACCATTGTTGATGTTGTTTTGCTAAATAAAATATGTTATTAAATAGTGCTGGTATTATCCAGGACCTTCTAAAGAGTGACAACATGTCTGATGAATGTTTATGCTGTCCGATGAATGTTATCTCAAGTGACGTAGTGTGGGTATCTCGCTCCTGATTGCTTGTTGAAACGTGACTTTTGTTTACGTTAGCAACTGTTCTTTCCCTTCTGTTTCGAGTAAAAAAAGCTCTTCAAGTATCAATTCGGCCTTCTGAGCCCAAGTCTGCGGGTTCGATCCCCGGCCCAGACACCGGATTTTCGGGATGCAGAAAATCCTCAGCGGCCATGTCGTATGATTATGCGGCATGTAAAAGATCCCTGGAGTGCCTTATTGGCTCTTGGCATTTCCGGCAAAATTAAATTCCTAGTGCACTTTAGCATCCAAATAGAGTCTCGGTGCTGCCATCTAGTGTGGCAGAAACTAGACGTCCAAATTAACATGACCAACGGTATCTCACCCATTGTGGTGGTCCTGAAAGAGTGGATACCACCTCTGGAGAACGCACTAGGTCTGCTCATCGGCAAGACCGATTGTGCAGCTCATTGGAAATTTTATTAACTTCATTTTAATTAACATTCAAACTTATGTAGAGAAACTTATCTAAATTCAACACGCCATTTTACTTATTAACAATCATCTGGCACTGACGTCATAGGTCACATGTGTGGGTATTGTGATCATCTTCCCCTTGAATTGCAAGTACCCAATTGAAGCGGTAGCGAAATGAGGAAAGTTGTTTTGATGAGTAGTTTGCTACCACTTGAATATTTTAAGCGAACCTTTGATAGGCTCTTATTTTCTTTCTTTTAATCTTATTTTCTTGTTTTGATATTATAATTTATTTTGAGAAAAATTAGACTAGCTCACTATGAAAATTTTCTATAACTATAAAAAAACACTATAAAAAAAGAATTCTGAAAAAAATTATTAAACAGCCAGCTGTCGCCATAGCAACGCATGCAATGACGCATGCACTCTGTTTACTATTACTATTGAACACAGTTGGAAAGTGTGATGACGTTCAAATAAGGTGCGCACGCCATCAAACCCAAAATAACACCTATTTTGCCAGTGGGTAAAAAATGTCTTCTTTTCTCAAGAAGGAAAGAAATTGTCAGATAAAACCTTTTCCCTCGTACTACTCAGGAAAAGTTCTTCAAGCTGGAAAGAGTCTTAAAGAACTCCTAAGAAACTGTTGTTGGCATCAACAATAATAAAAAAGCAGCACAACAAGTGGAGGATGCAGACGATATTTACTGTAAAAAATAATTTTACTAGCAAAAAATAATTTTGAAAATTTCTCAGAGTTGGTTTTTTTCTCAGACTTTTTGTTGTAAGGAAGTTTAGTAAAATCGTTACGGGAAAACGTACACCTTTGTTGGTACGCTAGCAGAATTACCCGTTACTGGAAAAGGAAAGTGAGAAAGTAATGAATATCATCGACCCTGGAATTTCCAGTATTTTTTATTCATGTAATAGTATGGAATGATTTATATGGAATATCATCTAGCGCAGGAGTTTCCAACTTACATGAGACCAGGGGCCACAATTAAAAACACAAATCAAATGGCAGGCCGCAACTTCATCAAAATTTTATGTAGGACTCTTTTGCGCTTGAAGGAACATTAAATATTACAGTCAGACTTTTACCAAGTTGTACAAAACAAAAGTATTGAATTACAAATTAAAATAAGAAGTAGATTTTTAAAAATACTTAATTGTTACTAATAATATTTTTCAAAATATTAGATAAATAATAAAAATTCGGGCTACAATAACTTTAATGTGCACCTATGTATTAAACAATTAATGTGCAACAGATATCTAATTGTTAAGATATAAAACTTTAAAAAGGTTGGTATTAAAACTTACATAGTAGCACACAAAATGTTCAATGAGAAAATTGAGGTTTGTCTGCTGCAACCACCAGAGAATAGATATTTACATTTTAAATTTAAAATTTACAAATGTGTGTGTAAATATTTTCGTCCAAAATGAGTGGTTTCAAAAAGTTAAATCGGAGAATTTCTTCGAGAAAATTTCTGATACACACATGCTGAATTATATTCACAAAATACAAAAAAAATGAAATAAAAAAGAGCAACATGCACGATTATTTTCTTGAATGCAAAACCCGAGAAAAAAAATTTTTTCGCACCGCTGGTATGTTAAATTTCACAGAAACGAAGAAATTAGGTTTCTATAAACGAGAAAAATATTTTAAACCCATATAGATTTTTTACGAAGATTAACCGCAAAAAAATTACAACTAATATATTTTAGTTTGCGGGCACCAAAAAAAGGCTTCTCGGGCCGGATGCGGTCCCCGGGCAGCCAATTGAAAACCCCCGATCTAGCGGATGGAATGAATTAGATTTGAAGTCTTCTTCATTGTGTTTCTTTTATGTATAAAAAAAGGCCAGTTCTAACATCCATCATACGGCCTAAAAGACATCATTAGGAAATATGAGATGAAGAGTATTTACAGATAAAATACAGCTGAGGTATGGACTAGAATTAATGTCATAACCAATACTGTACACCAGGGGTGTCAAACTCGCGGCCCGAGATGAACTTTTTTGTGGCCCCGTCAATAAATCCGAAGCAAAGTAAAAATAATTTGGAAATGTGAATGAGAAACGAAACCAGCATATAAAATTATAATATACTTTATTTATAAACTAAACGGATTATTTTAAATTGTACGCGCGAAAATGTAAAATTCTAATTGACTGAAATGGAGTTCGTTTCACATTAAGCTATCAATTAGATAGTACACATTCAGGTTTATCCTACTACAGCGAGATAAGTTGGTTATCTTGCCCCAAGATTCTCAAACAATTCTGGGATTCTAAAGAAGAAATATGTAAGTTTTTACATACTAAAAATCAAGATACAAACTTGTTCTCCGATTAAATATGGTTGCAAGATTTATCTTTTATGGTTGATATAACCAAACACTTATCCGATTTAAATTTATTATTACAAGGCAAGGATCAGATCATTACAAACATGTTTGACATAATTAAAGTATTCAAATATAAACTATTTCTTTGGGAAAGGCAACTGAAAAATGAAGATTTAACGCACTTCCCAACGTGCAACAAGAACAAATCTAGTTTAGATGATACTGCATCGTATCAAAAATAAGCAGAAAAAAATTTCAAATCTTAGAACAGATTTTAAAACAAGGTTTAAAGATTTTAATTCTTTGGAAGACAAATTTTGTTTGTTTTCTTCGATTTTCTCAATAAATATAGACTCAGTACCCAGTTATATGCAAATGGAAGTGATTGAGATTCAGTACGACTCAAATTTGAAGGCAAAATTCATTGAAGTGGGTGTGCCTGAATTTTACGAATATTTCCCCCAAGGCTTGAAAATACTCGAAAATTCGCATATGAAATTATTTAGTATTATAGAATTATTTTAATTAAGTACTTATCAGGGAGAGCAATTATTTTCTGTTATGAATGGAAATAAATCTCCTGTCCGAAACCGTATTAATAACGCTCACGTTGGGTCAATTTTGAAAGTAGTCTCGTCCAATAAAATTTCTCCCCAAAATAGAAAAGATAGTAACAGAGAAGAGATGTCAAGTATCAGGACACAAATAATAATTCAACTTTATGTATGTTTATTACAATGTACTATTCAAAATAAAAATATTTGTTTCTGTGAACATTGATTTTTTTTGCGGCCCACCTGAAGTTAAGCATTGTTTATTTGGCCCAAGTTAGATTTTGAGTTTAACACCCCTGCTGTACACCATTTAATATTCAACAAGTGTATGATTAGCCTGTTATTGGAGTCGTCTTTAAGGTTGTCAAATACTACTCGTTATCGCCTTAATACCACGTGACATGGTTTTTTGTGCACCTTGTTTTTTCGATAGTATTACGTTCCGGTTTAGGCCTTCCATTTCCTTTTAACTTGTGAATTTGTTCTCCACGCCTTGCCTGAATGCTCGATAGAAAATTCAATAGTATTAAAGCAGGTAAAGGGTTAAAATATCATTGAAGTTTGTGGCGTCACATGTTATGGTCTTACACGTAAGATTCCTAGTGGTAATTTTTAATATACTTTTGAATTAAAATAACTAACAAGCAAATTTATTAAACCAAGAAAAATATATTAAAATTGGAGCTGATTAATAATGATGAAACAACAATGAAAATAAATGATAAATATAATTTTTTAAAACAAAAAGTATTATCAACAGAATACTAATTTGAATGCAAATTTTTGTTGCAGGAAGTAGCGAAGGTCATGGATCGATTTCTACCGTCCTCGAAACAACCACAACAGTGGAGCAGATCTTACAATGTGTAATATTTTCATTTTCTACTTTTTCCACACTATAATGCAGGAGGAGTTTTTTTAATTCTTCGGTTAGTTAAAATTTAGGGTCCTCTAAGTAAAATAAAAATTGATTTCATCTAAATTGTTTAGATAAATATTTATAATTGTGAAAACAAAAATATTGCTCTAATGAACTGTTTGAAAATTATTATTTATCAGATCAATAAAATTTTTAACCCATGCTTAACCGAACTAGTGAAAAGAAGCAAATCATTGGAACTATAGAAAAAATCGAGATTAATAAATAAATCATTAGTAAGTTAATAAGAAATTTCTAAAACCAAATTTATTTTAAAATGGTTAGTAAATTTAAAAATATGCGAATGAATTAAATGTGTCATTAACATTTGCAATAGTTCATGATATAATGGTTCATTAATTTGTTGTATTAGTTCATGAATAGTCACTAAATATTTTTTCATAAGATGTTTATATACGTGAGAGTGTGCATATAAGATATCTTTTCTTAAACACCATTTTAATATTTTTAAATATATTTTTCTAAATTGTATTTCTTCAACTGTTAATTTAAAGTACTTATTACTTTAATCTTAGATAAAAGTGTGACATAGCGTCACTGGTACTTAAATTTAACGTCACTGGTACCCGATTCAAATTGAATAATTCCCCTCGTTCGCATCTGCCTTCTAATTGGAATGTTAGAATTTCCCGCACACCTGTTCGTGTCCTTCAACATGGGCTCAAATTTAAATTTTTGAAGTATAGAAGAAGAATGTTATCTGATATCAGTGGGAGTGGAGTATAAGATTACAAAAATTATTTTTTGGTTTTACGCATTAAAGTTGCATCGTCTTTGAAAGATCTAATTCCAACGATGCCGATAACGTCAAAGATTTTTTGTATTAGGGAGATTTCCCACTTTTACCTTAACTTCTGTATCCTCCCGTACGTAAGATTAGAGCAACTGCGCATACTCGTGTTTATTTTAGATACTGCGTATATTTACGTTATGTTGCCGTGATTTACGCTACAAAGACAAGGCTGCAAGCACCGCTGTTTATAGCTGTTAAATGTTGTTTTATGTTAAGCCTTATCTTCAAACAAAAATTACGTGTGATCTTACAACCATTTTATTAGTTTTTGTTCAACATTATGGTTGTCTAATGGCACTAGTTCCATAAGAATCTAGATGTATTTTCACTATTTCAAAATTGTAAAATATATTTATTTTAACTATACAATTTATTTAAAGGAAATTAAATAATCAATACAAGTTCAATAAAAAATTTTTAAATAATAAAAAGCTGCATTCTTTGTCTCTGAATTCATCACAATTTTTAGTCTACCAAATTTTTCTGTTCACAGATCCACAGTTTTACGTAGAGCAAAGCATTTTGAATCGTATGCCACGGCTTCAAAAAAAAAAAATAGCCCACATCCATTGTAAATGCTGATTTTCGTGATCGAAATTAGAATAATACCTTAGCGTTTTTAACTTACGGATTTCTTCGAAATCTCTTATTTTCACTTACGTAAGTTTTATTGTTTTTCACGGATGCATGCGTATTTCACCAGATCTGACGCATGCGTACTAGAAGTGCGCATGCGCAATTACTTAAAATCAAACATACGGGATGGTACGGAAGCTAACGTATATTTTCTAACTCTCCTTCCTATCATTTTTGAATTTTTACCAGTGTGCGAGCAAGAAAGCTATTTTTAAATCCTCCTGTCGTGAAAAGAATTATCTTTTTATTCGACTTTGCAGAAGAATGCGTAGATAAATGAGAAATTTCTAGTGGTAGTTATAATTCCAGGTATGATCCGCAGATTTGGAGACGAAGCATTTCTCTTTAGCACTACAAGTTGATTTTTAACCCTTCGTAAAAACACTCCAAGCTCAAAGTAAGAAGGAGATTTTTATTACTGCTTTAAAATTCTTGAAATAAACACCCTAGTTAGTTAAGTAATCGCATTTTTTGAAAATTAAAGTGCTGTGTTTATCATTCAATCGGAATTTAGATGTTGATTTTAGATGTTTACTACAGCAAACAGAATATATATTATTCATATAATTGATTTTCTGCGCATGAACAATTGTTTTTACTATGGTTTTAGTGGATGCATTTAAAAATGTGCAGTATGAAGAAAAAAAAGCGAGCCACCTTAACTAACTTTTGATCTGATCTAATGATCAGATATTTACGTTCTAGGACTCAATCTTAGTGGTTCCAAGTGGTGACCTTAAATATGTCAATTAAATTGCGCAGATGATATTTTAAGTGACAAAATCAGACGTACTTTCACTGAATCAACAGACATTTTTTTTTCNTTTTTTTTTTTTTTTTTTTTTTTTTTTTTTTTTTTTTTTTTTACGGTGGATGCGGAATGGCCGCAATCTGCGAAATAGGGTCCCAATTATGTGGTCAAGAAAGCGGTCAATAGTTTGGACCTCATAATCATGATTTTACTTTTTGCATATTTCACCCTATCTCTAAAACTTTTATAACAATTGAAATATTTTTGCAAATAGTTATAAAATTCGTTTATTCAAGGATAATTCCATGCAAATTATAACTTTTGGTAAATATTTATTATTTCTTATTATTTTATTAAATAATAGTTGAAAGAATTTTGAAATATAAGGTATATATCATTCTAAAGAATATAATTTAAAATAGCAAAATGTAAAATTTGAGTGAAATATATATATGNTATATATATATTCCTTGTTTTATATATTTAAAACTATTTTCCACATCACCGCATGAAAATTATTCCAAAATGCATATAAAACTCTGTTTCATCTGTTTTGTGATGAGGCTTTTATAAAATAACCGAAAATTCTGAAAACTTTAGTTTTCAATTGTTAATATATTGAATATAAATTGCGAGTGTGGTAGTTGGCTGTTTAATAAAATCCAGAATATAAAGAACCTATGTGTGGAGTTTTAAGTAAAGGGTGACGCTTACAGTTACGAAATTTAATTCATATTAAGTGTCGACAAGTGTTTTAAAGACTGATTTTCAAATAATATAATGTGAAATTCAGGTTCAAAACTTCAATGATAAACATTCAAAATGTTCTTAAAACAAACAAATAAATTTATTAGCTCTCTTCATGGAGACTCCTGGAAATGCTTTAAATTGCAGTGGAACGAAATCGATGAAGCACTGGGTATCCACTTCGGCACCTGCGGCTATCTCTTTTCAACCTGTTGGACTTTTAGATAAAGGGTCCGGCGATCAATACAATCTCGCCAGAGTTTCCTTCGTTCCACCTGTGATCCCGGACAAAAGACCCTTCATTAACCGGATATCTTTCCTCCAACTCAACTGGCAGTATTGATCACCACATGTTGGGTATTCGGCTACAGGAAAATTTCTTCCTTATGCTTTTCGATATTTACTCTTGGTACAGATATTTCTCTGTTAGAGGTTCGAATATCTAGATGAAGTAAAAAGTGTTCAAAAACAGAAACCAAACATTTATTGAATATCAATATTTTATTCTTGTGTGAGATTGTCTATTCCAGCAATGTGATAAGGCTTGTCAATGGAACGAAATCGATGAAGATTGGGTTGTCTAAATGGAGTCGGTTGGCTCAACCAGCTCATTAACTGTTGTCAATGAAAATTTTGATATAAGTCATTTATTTCTAAAATCTTTTACATTTTTTTTCATTAAATTTGCATATTCTTTCCCTGAAATAAAAAGATAAACCAATCATATCACGCAGCTAAGATACATACAGATATTTTTTCAACTTTAAAAACTAAACCGTGAATTGTAATCACGCATAAAGTTTATTCTAAATATTTAGATGAGAAGAACAACGCTTCTGATAATTTTTGATAAGATGGAATAGCGAACTCTTTTTAAAAATGGATTCTTATTTTTGACCCTATATGGTAGGGAAGTTACAGGAACGTAATCTAAAAGATCATTCTTCGTAGTAAATGTGTCCTCATTCCAGAATTATCTTCCAGATGATGACCGAGCACTGCTGTCGTCCGTACAAAGGAAATTAGGACTTTTCTTTGTACTCATATGAGTGCCACTTTCAAACAAATAGAGGGTCGTCTCATCAAACCTTCGATTCTTATTATTCATTTTACTGGAGAAAAAGAGTTCAGTCATCAGGACAAACTTCTCAAAAATGTTTGAAAATTAAAAATATTCGCTGGATAATTTTTCTAGCTAAACATTCTTATCCCAACAAGAATAACTAAAATTCACAAAAAAAATATATAAAAAATAAAAAAAATGGAACGTGTTTATTTCCGAGGTCTGTAGATGCATGAGTGACTGAGAGGTCCCCCTGAAGTAGTGAACTATGTTTGATTCTGACACCCAAGCAAGATGACGCGTGCGCTGAATAATTGTCGAATATTTATTATATCAATCAATGTTTGAGCAAAAATTTGTTTCCATCTGCTAGGTAATTCTGGACGTTGTCAAGTAACTCTGAAAATTCTGTTAACCTTAAACCTTGTATTAATGCCGGCGCTGTAGCTTTCGTTCCTAATCACTTAAATTAGTAGCAAAATAATAATTAAATAAGCAAAATATTTCTAAAATAGATCTATTTTCGATTTTCTAATTTACTCGAGATATAATTTATTGAAAAACCAAAGAGAAAAATATATTTATCATTCACTAGGGGTCATAACTAGTTTGAGAGTTAAAATTACCCATTATAAACAATCAATTGTCTCATTTTTAATAACGCAATATTTTAATAGTTTTTTATCAATTTTTATTGTCATCTACAAACTCACCTATTACTTTAAACTATCCTCCAACAGAAAGGAGTTTCTTGGAGGAATAATAAGAAAAATAAATGAATAAATAAGCAGCAAATGTATAGATCAATTTTTTCAACTAGCATAATTATAATAGTGTCGTATAAAAGTGTATATAAATGAGGGTGATTGTTTGGAAACATGATAATTCGGACCAAAAAATTTCTTAAAATTTAAAGTCTTCAAAATAATCTAAATT